AAGTGTATGTTTGGTTAACTTTTTAAATTAATATTAATTTGCTGACAAACTTGACTGGTCGATAACTAGTTTTGAATTTAAACCATTTAAATGTTTGATAGTTGATTGGTTATTATTTGCAATCTAGTTTGTTATATAGGTATTTAATATATTGACTGCCCTTGACTAATATATGTATACAATATAAATAAAATAAAGTTGTATAAAAACCATAGCTAAATGTTAATATTATAATTTATATTTATTAAAAAAACAATAGGTACTATAACGTCAGTTGTGGTTGCTATAACTGACGTTATAGCACCAGTCATTATATCTCTTCGGAACCTAATTAATCTAAAGGTTCTGTAACGGTCACATTTCACCCGACCGTTACTTCGCGCCCCGAACCTATTGACACATCACTAATTACCTAATTAGGTAGGGAGCGCTGACACACTGAGATGACATTCGCGTTGCATACTATTGTTATGCTCTGGAGTCGAGATTTACCATCACGCGCCTACGCATACCATACGGCCTTCTTTATCATTATTTGTGCACCTTAATTCGCCTACGGTTATCACCGGTCATCTTTGTGTGCGCACCGCTCGACTCCGGTCTGATCTAAACATCACCAGCCAGTATTCAGGTCAGACTGTATATATATATATATATTGCATATTTTGTATATTGATTCACCACTGCTTCTTTAGTTATTAATAAATACTTTGTAGCCTGCATAACCTGAGTGTCGACTACCGTTATTTTAGTGTGACCGCCCGTTAAGCTCCTCGGGCGATATACTAAATTTATAAAAGAGACTTTAGGGTTACTTAGGCGTAAAGCGCACTAGCCAACCGTTTCCCGACAGGGGCCGTCTATTTTAGCCTTATCGACGAGCACTTAGACTAGTTTGGTAAGCTAGTCAAGTAGCGACGTTACAATTCCAATCCAATTCAAACTGTTTTATTTTTCTTCAGAGGGATAATAATTTACGAACTTTAAAACACTTAACAAAAGAGGTGGCCATGATCGAAGAAACCAAAAACAACATGGCTGTGACGCAAATTGCACAATCGTTTTCCAAGGTAACCAAACGGCTCAGAGATCATTGTAGAATTTAGGTAGGTATCTACTGCAACACCACGTCATGATGTAGGGTTTAAGTTTCAAAGTCTACAACTTGTTATTTTTGATTTTGTTTTAAATAAATTATTAAATGCTACTAAAAAAATAAAAATATGGTTTGGCTTTTATTTTACCAAATACTTAAGATTGTTTAAAAATACGCAACCGGAATTAGTAGATACCTACAGCTCAAATAATGCATGGTCTTACAATTTTTTTCAAAAATCAAAACAAAACACCCAGTTCTATGCGATATAAATTTAGTGGGGACTTTGTATAAAAAAGCTAGAACAGCGGGGACAGTGAGCTCCCCCGACAATGGGTCGGGGGAGGTCATAATAGGTCTGTATAAATTGTTACAACTGAAAATAATAAAATAACTTTCAAATAAACGCTTAGATGCAAATAAGATACAAATATCGACAAAAGCATCAATTATAATAAGCTTAAAATGTATTTTTGATATTAGGTTGGATACGATTAGGGTTGACCGTCAATCTATAATAATTTATTGCCGATGTTACCCATGTATCGTGACCAACAATTAATGAAAGTATTTGCAAATACCTGTTGACTCTTGGGTCACTCAAACACAGAAACCTAAAAATTTACTATGGTCAATGTGTAATTTTCCCCTTTTTCGGGAGTTTTTTCTTTAATAAAAGTACAATTTTGACTACAGATTTTTGAGAAAATTTTGTGTAATATGCCCATTTAAATATCTACCTTTGATCTAATTTTTAGACCTTAAACTCTAAAACTTCACCTAAAAAAGCAAAATAAAGAAAAAGTTTCCGTCTGTCTAAGGGGTTTATGATATGTTTTTGGTTTGTCAACATTTATCGATCGTATTATGTTTAAAGAATATTCCTTACAGATTTGGAACTTATTGACTTTTCTTAAAAAAGTTATAAAGCGCCGTAATTTTAAGTTTAAAAATATGGAAATTTGTTGGTTGTTGTTCTTAATTTTTAATGGGAAGGGGTGAACTATTTAAATGTTTAGACCTATAAAATACCTTTTAGGTACGATTTCTGATCTATAGAGTTGCTACGCGAAGAAATCGGTTCAGCCAGGGGCGTAGCCAGTAAGTAGGCCTGGTAGGCCAAAATTGTCTATATATATACATATATATAGAAAAAAAATTAATTATTAATAAGAGTAATCATTAATAACTTCGTTTATCAATGGTTTATAGTGGGCCTACCCAAAAAAAAATTCTTAGCTACGCCCCTGGGTTCAGCGGTTTAGAAGATATCGCGTGGGTCTAGCCACAAAAATAAAAAACACATACTTTCTTGAGCTACGCATCAAAGCTAAAAAAATGTGTTATACATTTTAACATTTTATAATAAAATAACAGGTTTTTAAACTTTAAACAGGCTCTCCAACTACTTTCTAAGGTTTACCGATACCCATTTTTTTTACCACTTTTTCTCCTTAAATTCCAAACCATCACTCGGCATATCCGTTTTCTATAATCTCCATTCACCTCTATTTGTTTTGTCTTTTTTAACCAAACATTGACGATAATCATAATATATATACGTGTCCGTTATTTTAAAATAATAAAATACTTGGGCAGATCCAGAGTCAAACACCTTTACTCTAAATCAGCCTACACAACACGGTTTAATTATCCATATTTTTATGTCTATTGGTACTTATTTCAATGACAGATATGTTTTAATAGCAAACGTCCTACCGGAGCAAAGACCGTTGTATCCAGCTGAATATTTACGAGTGCGACTCAAACGCGGACGAGATTGGCAATATATTTGATAAAAATACAGGGGACGTCGTTGACAAATTTTATGATGATTTCACCCCAAGTAAAATGGAAGACACGTGGACCATGCCGTCGTTAAGCGAACGTTTTTGTCTCCACAGGAATAAACATTACACCGAAGACAGGTCGATGACAGTGGATGGTGCGGAACCAAAGGCAAACACGTCGTTGAAAAATACCAAGTGCTGGTTTACCCGGGGTTCGAAGAAAGTCAAATTTATACAGATAAAACCGATAAAGAAAAACCGCAATGCCAAAAACGATAAAAAAGAGTTAGCGGTTTGAAACGCAAGTGCCCAATCCGTCTCCGAGATATGACAGTTATTAAACTAGCCGATCGCATTCTACGTCCACTAAAAAAAAAACATTAAATTATACCTATATTATGTTAATCATTATCTTAATTACTATAGCGTATAGTCAAATTTTAGATTATTTAATTAATTACGGAGCTAAACATTAGATACCTACCTTCATTTACAAAAAAAATAATTAAAAAATTATTGTTATTTGTAAAAAAAATAATTTTTATATACAAGATCGTTTGAAACTCATTCTTAATGTCTTCATATTCCTGTAAAATAGGATTATAGCGATTTGAAATTAGATAGGTAGAACTCATTATAAAACGTACCTACGTAGAAGAAAGCCGCATTTTATAATTATTGTCTTCAGTTAACTACATCCAGTCTTAATATCTTTTCTTGATCCGATTTCCGTCCGAAGTATACCCAGTCTCTACAAACCATCCCTTATAACACAGAGTTCAACGTTCATTCAATTATGCATTATAGAATATAAATATAGGTACTACTTTTAAATATAGAGTTTTAATTAGTAAAAATTGTATGTTTTTTTTAAATAATAAAAAAAAATGTATATAAATTAAAAGATACCTTTTTAAAGAGGTTATTTTATTTTTGACAAATTGCTAACAAGCTTTAATGAAATACTTACGGTGTTAATAGCATTTAAATGTGTAGAATGGAAATTATATTACGGTGGAGTAGTGAGTAGATATAACAGATAAAAAAAATAGTTCGCTGCACCTTTTTTCCATTTAAACTTTTAAACGTTGATAACTCAAAAGTATTTATCTAAACAAGTTTAACGACAAGTCAATATTTTCAGAAAACCGTACTTTTTAATTTTTGAAGTCTTACTTGGAATTTTTTTAAATAAATATAAATTTGCAGCCTATAATAAAATATTGGATGATATATTTACGGAAAAAAAACTAAGTAGAAAAATACTGTGTGAAACCCTTGTGACCAACACCGCATATTTTTTTTATAATTTTTTCTACTATCGCGTTGTTTATTGTTTCAAGCTTAAAAATAAAAAAACTTTTACGCTTACCAATAGTGTATAATTGTTTAAGTACACGAACTAGATATTAATTTATAATCTATATAATTGTTTAATTATATTCTTTTATGGGTAAAATTTATTGTATTTCATGTTTTAATCTTTTAACATTGGTATAATATAATTGGTTTATGTAAATTTATTTTATTCAACAACATTTTTATACTAATAATTGGTTCTGCTTAACAAGTTTCAAATAAAATGCTTATTTTATTAAATTATCAAAATACTTTTTAATGTTCAAGTTTAATTAATTTAAAGAATGTACCTTTTAATAGTCAAGTAGGTAGTCATTTTCAAATTCCATTTTATTTACCTATTAAAAGCACAATAATGTAAAAGGTAAAAGGTATAGGTAGGTTGCAGGAAGACTGTAAAATGTTAGTTTAAAACACACTTTCCTAACTCGCCTATAATTTTACACGCTTACAACTAAAAAATTGGTTGAAACTAGTTATCAATTAGTCGTTAACTTAATTTTATCATTACTATTTAGAAATTAGTCAATTATATGTATACAAGAAATACTATTTGACTTTTAAAACTGCCCTTTACTATATTATACTTGTAATTCTAACATTAGAACTTATTTTTTTATAATTTCATCTAATCAAGATTTTATTTGACTCAATTAACTAAAATTATACAGAAAAAAATTACTGTTATGTAATAATGTTGATCACTGTTATTAGAATATATCAGTTCGAAAAATCGATTTCATATACCTAATTTACTATTAAACACTTTAGACTTTTGTGTTCCTTAGTGAGCTAGAATTGGGAAATGGAGTCCACTCACTGTTATTAAAATGGCCATTATGAAAATTATACAAGCTTATTTTTTACAAATTAACCAATACAAAGTTTGAAGTTTATGCAATGATTTTTATATGTATTGTTATCAATGGAAAACGTTTATAACACATAAATTCTATGTAATTTCTTTGTAATGTACAATATAATAGTTTAATACTTATATCACACTAATAAAACAACAGTTAATATATTTATATTTTTAAACTTTTAAAGATTACATAAAATAATGTTAAAGGAATTTGAAGGACACTCTATGATATGTCTACCTACCCTTGAAATCAAATATTAAGAAACTAAAAAAACTGTTTAACTGGAATCCAACAAATTGCCAATCTTAACTCTCTTATGTAGAGTATTTGTATGAAACTGATCTGGACTATCATCACTATCACTGTTGTGAGGTGATAATATACGTTTCCTTTTTGCTGGTTTACACTTCACTGTTGGCGGTGGAGATAAACATTCATCAGTGGTATGATGAGCGCTTGTGCTAGACGATGTATGTAAGTCGGAAGCATCTTGTACACAAAATGAATCCTGAAATGAAAATGAAACAATAATGTTGGTTGTCAATAAAAAATGTTATGTAGCAGTAGTGTATCTAGGATTTTTCCATGGGGGGGGGGGATATACAGATTTTAACAGCCATACCTATTTAATATAAACATATATTCATATTGTTGTATACATGTTGCATGTAAACAAAAATTTGGATTCTTAACTACAAAACAAAGTTTAATTTTCTTGAGGACAGTGAAAGAATATTGAGTACTTCATCAGGTGTGACTGTTATATTTTTGTGTACTGATAGGGCCCCTGGGAGGGATATAACCTCCATATCCCTCCCCCCCCCCCGTAAATATGCCACTGTTATGTAGTTCAAGTATAATTGTTTTAATCAAAATAAAAAAACGCCAGTTAGCTTCAGATGGTATAAAATTCATAATATTTCATATTCAAAAATTATTTTATAAAATAAATGAATTGTTTTATTGAGTAACAGAAAGAACATTGTACAATATTTAAAAAATAACATCTCACCTCCATATAACTGCTATCGTTGTTATGGGCAATTGCTTGAGAGTAAACATCTATATTATAATGTTGTGTCGTTAATTTTGGTATTTTGAAAACCCCTCGACCTACTGCTGGACTCCTGGAGAAAATTACAATAATGAGAAAACAAAATAAATAATAGTAAATAAATAAAATAAACTACTTCAATAAACTTACTTAACGGATTGTAAGTACTGCTTTGTCATACTTATTGATGCCACGTCTGTCTTGTCCAAGTCATCTATGAAACTGGAATCAAATTCTCCATCGTCTTCCCGACTCTCATCATTAGATGATTTGGATACACTACAGTCAAAACTTTCTTCAGCCTCATCATCAACAAACAATAGTTTCTAAATGCAAAAACACAACAAAAAAATTAAAACTCAAATAATAGAATAAAAATAAATTGATTATTTATCAACTTTTTTAACAACCTTTTTATGTTTAGTTTTTGGTCTAAATGTTGACTGTTTTGTTGGAATGATTGATTTCCTTTTACTGTCTATAAATACATCAGAATCTTCATCACTTGAAGATGGTAACAAATGTCCAGGATTATTAGCTATTAATTGAGATGAAGCTTTAGCAGTTATGGGATTATGTTGCAACATATTTGCTTTGGAAGAAAAATTTTTATTTTTAATAAATGGAACCTTTGGAGTAGACTCTGTGCGAGTGAGTGAACGCTTAGGTTGAATTGGAGAGAAGTCTTCTGAATGTTGTGCTACAACATAACTTGCTTTGGTAGACTGTTCTTTAGTAGTTTTTAGCAGATTTCTCTTCAAACTAAATCCCGGTTTTAACAGATTGCAAGCTTTTAACAAACCTAGATTGGTGTCAAACGGCAAACCAATATTATATGGCTGCGTCATTTGGTTTCTAAATGGTTGAGTGTTTGATTTAATGATAGGGCTCTTTACAATTAATCTGTTTTGATTGTCTAAAGACATCATTTCAGATTCAATTGGTTTTCCAGTTTGAGATTTTTTTGAGTTTTGTTCAGGATTGTTTTCATAAGACACCACGGCTGTTTTTGAATCTATACTCTTCTTGGTAGTAATTGGAAATCCAGAATGCATACACATTAATGGTGATGATATTGAAGAGAGTTTTCTAACTGATGAATGGGTTACATCCACTTTGGCCGAATCATTTACAGTAAGCTGTTTTACTTCATTGGTCAAACACCTAGAATTTTGTGCCCCCAGAGTATCAGGCGAAACCTGTGGTACAGCATGTTTTTCATCATTTTTAGATTGATAATTTATAAACAGAAAATCCATATCATCACTATCTACACTATTGTTGTCTTCAAAGGGTTTTATGTGGCTAATAATTTTGTCTTTTTTTTTTATTTCTTTCTTATCTAACACTTCGGGTTGACTCATTTGATTTGAATCATCCCAAAAATCATCCGGTATTTCTTCAGTTTTTTGTTCAGAACTACGGTACTTCACTTGAGGGGAGAGCGTTTGAACTTTAGGACTAAAAATCTCTTCCGTATATTCTGGTGTAGTTATATCAATAAATTCAGGACTAGAACAATTTGATGGAATGGCTTGTTTTTTAATCTGGCCGTTTTTAAATACAGGAGAATCTTGTATCGTTATTATGTCATCAGCGGCATTGTCCAAATGAGCCAAAATTTTATTATCACTCTTTGTTGACTGTTTTACTGGTTTGTTCAATCTGTCTAAGTAACAGTCAATAAACTTGTTTGGTGTATCACTAAACAACTCATCAAAATCTATGATTTTGTTAGATTTCTTTGCTGTCTTCTTAGTTTCAGATTCTTGACTTGTGGACAAATCAATAAAATTAATATTTCCTTTACATTCATTTTCATTTGTTTCATATGTCACAGCTGCTTTGCTGACTTCACTAACTAAGAAATCACAACTGTGCTTGGAATTCTCCTGCATATTATTTGAATGTTTATTTGGTTGGGTTATTCTATCCATGTAGTCTTCAATGTACCTGTTCGCTCTTTGACTTTTAAACATTTCATCAAAATCTATTTTCTCTACAAGTTTCTCTTCTAAATCACTATCAGAATGGAAGTCTATGTCGATACTATTCCTACCACTACTAATCACTGGACTGCGTTGTAAATTGATTTGTAAATCAATGGTGTTACCATCATTGGAGTGCTCAGGTTCAGTTATCTTGTGCATGTAATCATTAATGTACTTGTTAACTCTTTGACTCTTGAACAAATTCTCAAAGTTAATTTTGCTTTCACCTTCATTGTCTGTACTTTGATCAAAGATAACAGAGTTACTTTTAGGGCTACTAGACGATTGCTCAGTTGGCCTATCTAAGTAATCAACAAACTGTTCACTAGTCTTTTGGCTTTTAAACAAATCATTGAAGTTAAATTTCTCAGAGTATTCATGAGTTTCTTTTAAGTCTAAGCTACAATTTAAATTATCCATATTTTTTTGATCATCTAGTTCATTGTCTTTATCATATAACATATTCTCATCATTTATGTTATCTTTAATAAAACGTTGACTATTTAACATAGAATTAAAATTAGTTTTTGTTAATGTGTCATCTGTGCAACTGACAACATTTGTCTGTACTGTTGAGGATTTTTCAGTATACACCAATGTTTTTTCTTCCTCTTGAAAGTCGTCACAAGGTTCTATAAATAAGTTTAGCATTTTAAAAAATAAATCATTTACTATTACGGAGTTAGCATCTTCACACGATTGTTGCCACTCGTTAAATAATTTCAATTCTTCAGAAAAATTATCATCAACATTTTCAGTAGGAAACTTAAGAGATGGTACATAATCAAACATTGCATCGTTGGATGAAGGTGAAACAGCGATGTTGTTTTGAAATACATTATCTTCAACATCTATATGGTTGGAGTTTTCATTTAAGACACTTATTTTGTCATTTAATTCAACGTCAGTTATTTTCCGTTTCTTATTTTTTTTTTTAGGTAAATCTAAAACAAAAAACAGAATTATAAACAGGGTCACTCATAAATTCTATTACAGTAATTTAACTAGCTTTTAATAAATACTTCTTAAGTTATTAAAATTTAAACATACTGACGAGGAGTGATAAGTAATGCCACCTTTACATTCAACCATTGCCATTGCTTCTTGTGCTGCTGTATTTACTTCCCAAAATACTTCAGTGGCAGTGTCGAAAGGCAGTGAGTGTTTACATTGCCAACTGTTTAAACTAACCGGTTAAGCTGCTGCTCGCGCTGTCCAAAAATCCGTCCTTGGAGGGAGCGTTGGCAGAGACAAAGCGAGAAACATTGTCAGCGCGAGTGATGTGTTTACATACACGCGCTGCCCAATTTCTCACTCACTTCCCTGCTCACTGCCACAAAAGTGGGCTGAATGTAAAGGTGGGGTTAGAGAGTGATATGCACAGATAAGAATAACTACTTATCTACACAATTCATTCTTAGATCCTCTAAATTACCCTTAAAATAATATTTTGAATTTGAACATTATTAACTATGTTCGATTATTCAGTAAAATAAAGATTTGATTTTAAACTTATTTAGCTAAGACAAGTATTTTATGAAAACAAAATATTGTAACAGGATTTATGAATGACCCTGTACCAGAACTATATTGACTCAATCTACTATAAAAAAAAAAAACCAATATCTGTCTGTGTTTGCTTAGAACTTTTTAATGGAATGGACTAACAGACTTCAATTTTACTATTACTAAGGGGAATGAGGGTATTGAAAATGTTTAAAAATCAATCAATTAGTATAACTCAATCTACATTTCATTTTCGGTTTTATTTTCGAAACTAATTTTTATATTTTAAAGAATAAGAAAATTATAAACATAAAATAATTAAATGTTTAAATAAACCCTTAACCACAAAAATAATACTCTATAGCGCTGTAGGGTATTATTTTTGTAGATAAGGGTTTATTTATATATTTTTTTATTTTATTATTTGTAACCACAAGTGCTGCTTAAGTTTTTTCTAGATTATAAACATAAGTTAACATTTTTTCTTAGTTAAACATTTTTACGCCATACTACTATTGAAAGTTTGATATTTCTCAGTTAACCCTTTCAAACCAGACTTTTTAGTGGCAAAGATCTGCCATACCCCTCTCTGGTGATCGACTGACGACCTAATAAGGAAGTCGTCAGGAAACTTCCACCATAGTAAGAAGCAGACATGGCCTACATACGCTGCTTATGGGGTTTCCGAGAGATTCGGTTATCTACAAAATACCACCGTAATCTATCACTTAAGAGTCCCAGGCAAAACCAAATAATGCAGCTATTAGAATATAATATTGTCGTGAATTTTAAACATTGATAGTAAGAAAAAACACCAGAAGATAGGGGTGAAAACAGGTTTCCAGAAACTATCATAACTCATGACTCGACAATTAAAATTACTCTCAAAAAATGCTTTTGTGTGAATTGATAAATGGTAAAAAGTATTCTAAAGTGTATCTTGTGAGCACATTTTGATCTGAACATTTGTTACATGAAGTAGATGGTTCAATTAAATAGTTACTTAAGTCCCAGAAACAAAAGTAGCAAATATAACAACACATAATTTTAAACTAATAGGTACCTTTGTCGTTGAAATATTTCAGTGGCAATGACAAATATTATAATATACAAGTATTATTTTACCTCTAATTTGAAATCCATCTAGGCTCTTTTCATCTTTATTATCCAGGAACTGCATTATGTCATCAGTACCTTTCCTTTTCCCTTTCTTTCTTTTTTCTTCAGGTAATTGTTCTTCTGGTTTCTTTATGTGTATCATTAGTAGTTTTGGATCAATATCTTAAATCGATCAGTAAGTTATTAACAATACAAAGAAGAAATTATTTAATCTGCTTACGCTTTGGCACCAATCTAGGTCCTCCTTGGCCTATCTTTGAAAGCACCATTTTGTTTTTCAATAACTTTGTAACAAGTGTTTTACTACTTGATACACTACTCTTGTACTTCTATAAAACATCATTAAAAATTATTTGATAAAACAAATTTTTAATTATATAGTTCCTAGAATTAAGGGGATGCCAATTTTAAGTATAAAATTAGCCATTTCTTAAACCGTTCTTTTTTGATGATTGCTTACATAAGTTTTAAAATTTTAGAAACATATAGGAAACAATAAAATATACAACGAATCATGTAGCAGTAAAGTTACAAGAGCACGTGTCATGTCTAATTTTTGACGAAATTGACTTATTACCAGATTTTTATTTCACTACCTTAAATACGTGCTGTGTAGAAAAACAATACTAGTCCATTGAACCATAATAGAAATATCATACACTGAAGTTAGTGTTTTTTTGCCAAAAGGGGAAATGTCACATCCATTTTTCGAAAATATTATGAGGATGTATTTTTTTTTTAATGTGGATAATAAAGTATTTATTTATTTTTACAATTAGCTTTTTCCTAGATTTTCCTTAACAATTTTTTATGCCTCCTGTAAAATTTGGTTTTATGGATATACCCCCGTTTTCTGCAATTAATGACTCATATTATGTCCGAGCTTTTTTTAAAACTCATAAAACCTCAATAAATGTTTTGAAAATAATTTACCAAATGTTCTTTTCCTTCAGTCAACAAAGTTATACACTTTCCTGATCTCTTACGCCCAGTACGCCCAAGTCTTTGCACAAACTTGATAGGGGACCGGTTGGCTTCTAAACAAATGATTAAATCAACTTCACCAATATCCAAACCTTCTTCAGCCACACTTGTAGCAATTAATACATTAAAATCGCCACTTTTAAATCGAACCATCACCTAATAATAATAAAAAAACAATTTAATACTATATTATATATAATCAATATTGTACTATATAATATCATCTTGTAATGTATAAATTTACTTCAAGTTGTTTCTTTTGAGGTAGTCCTCCTTTTTCTTTCAAAGATTGCCCGACAAACATTACTGGTTTTAAGGGTTCGCCAAAACTTTTCAGTAGTTCGAAAATTTCTACCACAACCAATCGATACTGTTTATAATACAAGTTACAAAAACGTGATGAGTACAAAAAACTTTAGAAATCTAGTGCAAATGTGTTGTAGTCATATTTCTCATCCATAAATCAGAAATATTTTACTAAAGACAATATAGAAGGGAAAAAGTTTAAAAACTTCACCTCTTCTATACTAAAATTTTACAATATTTAATTTTTAAATATTTTACCTGACAAAAAATTATAATTTTACTATTAGCATCTGCATTGTCCATTCCAAAATAATTAAGAACAATGTTCTTTAATTCAAAAAGTTTCGGATGACTCCATGTTAAGTCCTGTAATAGAAAATAAATGTTAAATATATCATAATAATTTTACTTAGGTTTCAATATTTATACCTGTTTATTTAACTCTTGATTGATGTCATGCATGAGTTTACTTAACTCGGGATCGTTTGTCAAACATTTATGATTTTCTGAAAGTTCTGAAATATAATTATGTTTTAATTAGTACTTTTAATTATTTTTTACTCAAATTAAATGCATGTATAATATCTAACAACCAAACTGGCTCACTGGAGCCAAAACCATATTCACCAGTTAATTGCAAATAAAACACTTTAATTCCGTAAATAGTCAAGAGCTCCAATGCATAAGCTAATGACATACACACAGTAAAATCGTTTATCAAACAGCCAACTAATGATTTTGGCATTTGTCTAGCATTATTGCTGGTCTGAAACTTTTGTTTGGCACCTAAAATCTAAAATTAAAACAATATATCTAATATGTAAATAATATTAAACCAAAAAACTGTAAATAACATATTTAAAAAATGTTTATTACTTTAACTTACTTGAAATTTGCTTAAATTTGTCACATTACCATTAAGAGCATGGTACTGTTTTAAACGCCTTGAATATTTATCATAAATCTATAGCAAAAACATTCAGTCATGTTAATAACTTAATAATAACTGTTAAAAATTAAAACATTTTGTTCAAAATCAATTATTAATAACATTAATGAAATTTGTTATATTATATTTAAGTTCATTGCACAAACTAATATATTTTATTTGCCTTACGATAAGTTGTAGGTATTATTTGTTCTATCGCTACAAAGAGTAGTAAGTTTTGTTTTTTTTTTGCCATAAAAATGTATTATATTTGCATCTAAATGACGAAAAATGATAAGTTTTATTTTCGATACGCAAAGTAATACTTTTTGCCCATTAAAACCCCATATGGAGCCAAACGTATTATACTTTGTGGCAACAAGTGAAACATGTTACTTTTTGTCATTAGTTTTGGCTAAACAAATTAGTTTTTCCATATTAAAGTTGAAATATATGTAGTTTTTGGAGCTAAACGGAACTTTCTACTTTTTGTAAATCAAATGAAACATTATATTTTGTAGTAGTGGTAACGAAATAAAAACGATGATAAGAACACTGTCAAATATTTGACACATGACTTCTTTATTAATTATGTTTTTTAAAGTTTCAATATTACTTAAAATTTTTGGTTGCCATACTAATATAACCAAAAAAAAAAATTATCAAGGTCTAAAAGTTTAAGGTAAGATCGACTGATAACAGTAAAAATAGTCCATAATTTTACAATTATAAACTAGAGCCAACATTTTTAATATACTAGTTGATTCTTTTAACGCCCTACACTAGTTTACTATTTAAATAATTGCAATTTTGTAATGTTTCTTTTTTAAAAATTTTTTGTTTATGCTATAAGTTAAATATTTTTTTAATTAAATTCTACAATTTTTAGTGTTTTACCTGACAAAAAAATTATAATTTTACTAATAGCATTTGCACTGTCTATTCCAAAATAATTAACAAAATTTACAGTTTAAATAACTTAAAAATCGATATAAATATATACATTGCCGTTTTGATTTAGTAAGTTGATAGAGCTCTAGCAAATATTAAAAAAGATGAAAATTTTGAATATTGTCTAATATTGTACTATAACATAAATAAAACTGTTTTCAAAAAGAAACACTACAAAATTGCAGTTATTTTAAGAGTAAACAGGAGTAAGGCGTTAAAACATCACCCGGTTTGTTGAGTTCAGTCAACTATTATAAGAAACTATGCTAATTTCAAATAACCATGTTCAATATATTGCGAGAAAAAAATTCCTGTCAAAATAAAACTCAACCGCCACCAAACTGTTATCCATTCATGAAAAAAAAAACTTTCCAGAAAACCAAGCTTCTTTTTTAAGAAGCAAAAATTCCTATTATTTATTTTGAAATTAATTTTATTCAAATTATGCCCCGAGCTTACATCTAAAAATGAAGAGCGTATGTTGAGAATTGCATCGCTGAGCTTTACAGGTATACACTCAACATCTTTTTTGTTAAGGTACTTTACTACATCTGATGATTCTTCTGTTCTAAATTCCAGTCTTGAAACATTTAAATTTTGTATAACTTCTATTACAGCGTCTACAGTTGTTCCTGGTGTAGCTGATAAGCCAATTATTCTAATCAATCTATTTTCTTCTTTCAAACGCCTTAGTACCTAATGATTGAAATCAGTTCATTTATTGTTGTTAAGTACACCCACAGACTGTTAATAAGTTATTTTTTTTAAATTGTCTTAATAAAACTTACTTGAACATAAGCATAGTCTTTAGTAGCTCGATGAGCTTCATCAATAACTATACACTTCAACATTTCTGTTGGACACTTATTGATTGCCATATCGTTAGCCATAACTTGAGGAGTAAGAAAAAAGACTCTATACTTTTTCCATGCTAAATACCTCTGTTCAGGTGGTATATTTCCTGGAAATATTAATAAATATTATTAACTTTAAAATAGTTATCGACATTGTGTTAGTTGACAATAGTTATAGACATCGATATTTCTTAACAAACTCACACACCAGTCATTTCAAAAGTCATATCTTTAGGAATGCCCATTATTGAGTGACATGCTTCAATTTGCTGAGCAACTAATGGTCTGGTTGGAGCCATAAACACAACTTTACCAGTTGGATACCAACGGTAAAAGTTATACATCACTACAGCAGCAATAAAGGTTTTCCCCATTCCTTAAGCACAAAAAAAATTATAAAAAAATATGTAATAACTAATGTAGGTAATTATAATATATATTACCTGTTGGTAAACTGACAAGAGTGTTGTGAAACAAAGCTGTTTTAATAATAGCCATTTGATATTGTCGAACTGGAAAATTAGATGGATAGACATAATGTGTTCCAGAAGAAAGGTGAAATCCTTCAGCCTCGGGTCCCCGATAAAAAATAACTGGCCTAAAAGAAATTGAATGATAAGATGATTGTATTTAAGAAATATGAACTTAAATGAAATACTGACGTGCTGCTAAGACTAAAATTACAAGCATCTGATGTACTTGCAACCTCACAACCTTTTTCATTTTCAAATTCATGGTCTACATTAATTGTTGGATCAGTAAATCTATAATTATTTACTAATTCACTGTTTGTTATATTAATACTCGTATTGTCAGTTTTGTGTTTGGTAAAGAAATTCGACAGCCTACTCTGCACAGTGGAATACTTTTTTGGAGATTCACATAAGTCAATTATAACAGACTTTTCAAGTGGTTTAGTCAAATTACTAGGCCCTGCCACTGGCTGATTGTTTATAGTACGTAATGGTTGCTCCACTTCATTGTAATGTCTAAAAAAATATATAAATTACAACTTATTAGTGAAATAAAACTTATAATAAATCAAAAAACAACTTTTTTTATAAATAAATACTTTAAAATATTATTTTAAAAAAGAAACCACATTCATATAATAAATAATTAATACAATATATTTTAAAGCCCTTTTATATATATATTTTATTTTAATCATTTATTATTAACTAACAATTTATTTTAAATTAAACTCATAATATGAATAAAATAAAATACAATTTTTAAAATAAATATAGTATTTTAAATGTACTTAAACAAAGTATTAAATATACCTTAGACTTTCTTCCAAAACAGAAGCTAATATATCATCATCATTTGATAAAAAATCGTCATACTTGTCTGTCATTGTCAAATGTTTTTGCACCTGCAAAATAATTAATTTCTTTTTTAAAATATTAAAAAATCTCAATATTATTAATATTAAAAATTTCAATAAATCTTTGATGAGCTAATTAAAAAATTGATTTAATATGTTAAAACATTTTAATTTATCATAGAATAAATTGTAATTCTTATATGTTTTCCCTTAGTTCATAAAATGTATTCATATCCCCTAAGAGTAAGACATACATATATTTATTAATGTAAATGGAATAATACACTTTCAGAAGAGGTTCTTTATTATATTTTATTACGATAAATTGTTTATTATTCTACTTTTAATATTTGATTTTATACACAGTTAAAAGTTCCTGAGATTATAAAAGTGAGCCAATTTTTAAACATTAAAAATTACAATATATTATTAATAATACCTTAACCTAAAAAAAAATAATGCTTATTTTACTTCTTATTATGTTATTAAGATATCATTATTATTTATTTAAATTTAAATTGCCTAATAACAAGCCACATACTCAATGTTTAATCTAAGACAAACTAAAAATATATAAATACATATACACTCATAACTTATGCTACTAGTTGACATAATTTACAAAATATATTTTCTATTATACACTTTGACGTTCAATGCATAAAAGTGGAGTAATAAAACAAAAAGGTAAAATAACATGTTATTTTACAGTATTCTCTTATTATTTTATCACATTATTGTAAACGCTATACACATTTTATCAGCAGACTGGTCATGTTAATTATACAAATTACTAATTAGTAAAGAAATACACTACAGTACGTACTGTTTTTTTTTTTGGGGGGGGGGGGGGGGTTATATAAACTAAATAAACTTTTTTAAGTAAAACCACTAGACCAATTGTTATGAATAAAGTTTTTTTATTGACTATTAAAATACCAAAATTATAATAGAAACCTTAAAATGATTTTTCATGAAACTACCAAAAAAAAAACAATCAAGTGTAAGAAGTGGATTTATTTTAATATTATTAATTTAAACAACATACATTGAATAAATATATCACATAGAAAATACAATTAAAAATGTTTAATTATTTATCAATACAGTCAATTTTTTTTATTTTTCCTGATGAAGTTACTTAATGTTACTCTTGTAGTATCTGTTATAGGAACATCGCCACGTCCAAGTTTTGATAAATTGTCTTTAATTTCATATTCGTTCATGTCACTTGATGATGTATCCTGAAAAATTGTTTAGTATCTCTGAAATGTATTGTTATAAATCATTATTGCACAAAAAAAAAGTGTCTAGCTATGACTTCTTTTTTTTGTTTAATTTATGCTTAATGTTACCAGTGGTGGACTGGGTTAGTCCGCACTTTAGCTCTCAAAGATTTGGGGCATCTAGGGCTCGTTAGATTTATTATTTCTAGATAATTTAATAACAAGGACGCCAGATTTGTATGTAATTATAATAGGCATAATTGTATAATCCAAAATTTTAACCCAGTCCACCTCTGAATATTTCCCATACTATAATTAATGAATATCATTAATTATTTAAATTGATTAATATTTTTACCATCAATTCATCATCGTTTGATTGTGCTCCATTATTCAACGATGCCATTTCTAATTTAGCCAATTTCTTTATCAGCACATTTTTAGTTGAATTTGTAATTGGGCTTGTGATTCCAAAGTAAGAAAGGCGAGCCCGAAGATCATCATCAGATATATTTTTTACAGACATGAGGATTTCTTTACATTAACTCGTTGATGTTCAAAATGACTAGATAATCTACACAAAAATTTTAGTTTTATTTTGTTTAAACAAAAAAATAAATACTTATAAATGAATTAATATTTTACTTACACAAATTACTTATAAACAAAAGTTAATTAACTAATATACATCATAACTGTTTAATTTATACTATTATTTCTATTGAAATGATAACAAAAAATAAACACAATACAAATGATTAGGGGAGTTTTACCGAAAGGGCATACTTTATCCAAACATTAGTTCAAAAGAGCCAAAAACCGCACACTTCTTTTGGTACAACCCAAATGAGCATAGTGATTACTGTAGTGGTTCTATTAAAACGGTTAAATAAATAATAAGTGTCCTTAACAAACAAGTTTCATGCATTGTAATACCCATAAACCAAGACTAGCTCCCTGACTTTGATATCATAGACCTAACAAGTTTAAAGTGAGTCGCACAGTGGGACAAATATGGCCATATATACACATTACACATATTATAAATAATTTCCTAGGAAGAGACAAAAATTAATAAACAAATATAAAAAGTAATTTGCTATTAACTAGGGAATGTGCTCATTTCGGCTAAGTAACTTCAGGCAGTTAAAATAAAACTGTACTCTTTTGCACTAATTTTGCAATCGATTGCACCGGACCACAGTTGCCTAGTTAAAATAAATAAATAAACTAATAAAACTTTAAACCTTTCTAAAAAAAATTAAATAAAAGTTTTGTACACACAATAATATTAAAACATTATTTCAGTTATCTTTTTTAAAGTATGACATACAAAACTTAATCACAAGCCTTCCCAACAGAAAATAAAGATGACTGTATATAATTTCTTCGACGAATAAGTGAAGCTGGGCTCAATTTTACTAATATATTAATTAAAAACCTAACTAATTTTGCAACTTATATTTAATAATTTATATTTAACATTACGCACGTTGAAGAATGGTTAGTTTTATAGGAACACAGAGAATCAACAGCAAATATTCAATCCGCACTTTACATCTAAAAGAGCCAATATATTACTCTTGACATTTTTGGTAAATGAGGATACAATTTGTATTTATCATAAATATCAATTTTTGCACAATATATTGAATGATTAAATTTACATGCATTTTCCCTCAAAAATTAGCAATGACCTCTTAAAACCCAAGGTACAGAAATATACTAAAATTAAGCAATACTAATGTAACAATAGGTTACAGCTCCACTATTATGCTTGCATTTTTGAATTTCTCAGCGGTAAATATATTAAGAAATTCAAAAATATCAGCATCAATTCAATACACATGCACTATTCCAGCATACAGGCATAGCCAATCTATAATACATTTAATCGATGACTACAGTAACAAAATAGTAAACAAAATATTTTCTAGAAACACAATGTGAAATAAGTATTTTACAGGTAGGTAGATAAATAAAAATCTTAGAACACAGTTGAAAAATTATGTGCATGTCAATAGCTATATCATAGTGTACGCTAAGGAAGGTTTTAAGGGTTTAACCACAGAATATGTCGAAACTATTTTTAAAAATACGTAATTTATTCTGTGGTTTAACAACCGCCTACCCACCCTATTTGGTATGGACATGTAAATCAGCTAAAACTTATGTCACATTCCGAAACATAACAACATATAATGGATACGAATATAATTTGCAACTATACATAATAGGTAAACTCGTTGCTAGTTCTGTAATCGTATAGTAGTCAAGTAGAATTATAGAAGTGAGTACTTACGATTTATTGTTCAATAAATAGTGTGTAGTAGCCAACTATATTGTCTTGTAAGCATGATATAAAGTATTTGCGTATTTGCCTGTTAATTGCATCTTTTTATACAATTTGTTTTATCATAATATTTTAGTTATACTATTCAAGACTAGCATATTGTTTTTTGTTACAAAAATTGTTAAAATTTAAACAATATTGAGTTCTGTCATCTGTGTCTATTATCACAAGTGATAACACCGGCCAACTCTATTGTCAAAGCTTTGTGGCGTAATGGCGGGAATCGTCGCCGTTCAAAACCAACATTTAAATACGAATGGGGATGAAAAATAATCGCTATACCTAGGTATATTATAAACTATAAACTCAATTTTATCATAAATCATGTTACAATGGAGGGTTTTTTTTTTAAAATGTATGAATTCTTGTTCACTTACCAGGTTGGGTACTACGTTTTTATTTCGGCTCGGATACCTACTAGAATAGATTATTATCGGTTGATTTCTACTCCCTAGTTTATTGTTTACGAGTAGATACTAGCTATAGAAATAGAGATGATTAAAAAAATTCTGGTTTGGCTTGGAGGAAGAATATTTACTAGAACCTACTAACCTACCTACTTATACACTTTACCGGGCAGGCGCAACATCCCGATGTGGCCGAACGTACCCATAGATTCCGTCGTATTACCCCTAAAAACCCGGTAAGAAACCAAACTATCAACATTTTGCCTGATGTTTCCCATTCCTGGATTCGCTGAGCAATCGTGTATGATTTAAAAGTTAATTTTTCCTTTATGACTGTGCTACGTTGTTTGTGCTCACTGGCGGTTCATAAATACCGGTGAATCATACCGATTGCTTACCTTCAGTCAGACCAATAGTATAATCTATTTATAATTTATAATACTGCCGACCAGAGTCCCCCGGCCTTAAGTCCTTCTTATCTTTCCCTCTCGCTCCCAACAGAGTATTCCAGCCGAACAAGCCACTTATCGCAATAATCCGTCAACAGGCCACGCAATCGATCCACCCGTACTTGTCAACAGGCTACGCAGTCCAGGACCACCTACGATCAACCGGCCATGCAGTAAGACCCCGCCGTACTCACTCCTTATTTAATCCATACCCTCGATTATCCTCCCAAAAGCGTAGAGAAACCCCGTCGACAGTTAAGATTATACTGTCCGACTATCGAAGTCTCTCCTTCCCATTAACCAACCCGTTATTTTCTTTAAAAAACCCGCATTGCGCGGATTAATTTTACAAATGCTGTAATCAAAACTAAGAAACCAAATTTTTACATAATATAAACAACAACATTGTCTGTGGTCATCGCTCTTTTTTTAATATTTCAACCAGTTAATGAATAATTAATTAATTATGAAAGGACTTTTTTAAAAATGATACAGCGTTGGTTGTATTAGGTATATCGAAAAAATACGGATGATGGAACACAGATAATTTTGTCATAAATAATATGTATGAATTTCTTTCCTTAACTATGTATAAAGCCTGAAAAAAATTAATCCGTGTAAGACTCAACTCAACAGAATTTTTTTTTTTTAAATCGCTGTCAAGGATGCTGTGATAGTCCGAAAAGTAATTTAACTACTAAAAATGAGTCCTAACTACTGTACTCATAGTTACACATCACAGTTTAACCTTTAAGTTACAATTTTGTAAAAAATTGCCTATACTTAACTCCTTAAAAATGGGCGGTGTGGCGTCCTCTTAAGGAAATACGTGAATCGTGTGCGGAACGCTTGAGCTGACAATAGGGATATGTATAATGTCTCGTGAAATATTATTATTTCCTATGCGTGGCTGGCTGATGAGACGCGATAGAATAACACAACACAACAAATATGTTATAGTAAACAACATTTACTCAATAATGAATTATTCAAAATAGCGTTTTTAACGACAAACACACTTGTCAAAAACAGTGTTACTTTTAACGTAATCGACCGACGGATTGCTAAGCGTAGTCGATTTTTTTAAATGAAACCGATTAAAGATTGGCTGAGTATCAACGGATTAAAGATGTCAACTGAACCTGTCGTTAGTTGTCAGCGAAGCTCTGTTGCCGGTGAGACGGCGTCCACATCGGCCGTACAACAAGACCAGTCGTTACACAGCAAAGACATTTTCTTAGAGATCTGCAACATGGACATTCCGGTGTACGCTAGCGAATCGGATGTAATTCAAAACCGTTGCGCCTGCGTTGGTGGATTTCGGTCAATGTGCGGCAAAGAAGAGTCAGTGGTGAAGACGCATATGTTGGACCAGTGTCCAGACAACCGCCGCCAGAGTTGTCACGCACGACGCAAACGAAACTCACTGCTCCGGCACAACCGTGGATCCAACACTTCGGCCGCCACCGCCACCGCCGTCTCCAACGCTGTCGTTATACGCGGTACCGGTTCGTCGCCCGCTGACCCGTTGTCGTTACAAAAGTGTCAGTGCCGAGACATCAATTGTTCCGTTTATTTGGATATCGCAATGGACTTTCTAGCCAAAGCGCAGCAAACCGATAATAAACAAGATACCGAAGAAAGCGTCGAAACAAGCACTAACGTGTTCCATTGCAAATTACGACGGCCTTGTGTGTACGAGCGCGTCGTCAAGTGGCTGACAGTTTCTGCGCCCGACTCAACGCAATCAAAGAAGAATTCTCAAGATAAACGTTCACAGACGGACACATTAATGTGATTGGATCCGATGATTTACAACAAAATATTGATTACAACAAAAGACTGGCTTCAAAGAGACACTTGTTTATTTTTACACGAAAATGTATGCCTAAAAATCTATGATCGAAATCCATTATCGTCATTGGCGCTAAAAAGTGGTGGTATAATAAAAATTTAAATGTGCATTTAAGCTACAACAACGAATTTGAATTTAAAGTTCTTGTATGTGAATTTTGTTATGTGAATTATATGACTAGGGGTATTAGTAATATGTAATATTAATGTAAAATTAATTTTGTTGAGTTTCGACAATTTCTTTCATTTCACCAAAACATCATTCAGGAGTTCCTGTGGGAAAGCAATTAAGTTAAAAATAGCAATTATACAGAAAAAAACAAACAACTGTTTCAAAAACATTTAAATTTAAAAAAATGAATTGTAATTTATATTTATCTATACATGTTTTTAACGTTAAATTATCCACTAATATTATTATACTACACATCTAGGTATTCCATCATGGAGATTAATGATATATACCTACCTACTTTACCTTACTTTTAGTTAAGTTATTTACTCATGGCTTAGGCACTTATTGGTAATTCCAATGCAGAAAAGTCACTAAATAATATTTTATACGTATAAAAAATCAGGCATTAGCAGTAAAGTGTGTCAGTACTTATATTTGCTTAGGAGAGGCTTGAACACATTTTTTTGTGGGGAGGAGAGTTAAGCCCCTCCAAGCCTCTCCTATTTGCGCAACTATTTACAGGGACAGTAAAACCAATTTTTTTTGTGAATTTGCGTATGAATTTTATGAAAAATAACATAGTAGTTTACTAAAAAGAAAAGATCTTCCGGATGAAAAAATAGCGTGCGTTACATATGGTATTACTAAGTATTAAAATATTACATACTCACAGACCTCGCTAAAAAAAATTGCCTTTAGTCACACTACTATGTCTAAAGAATATTCCATACAAACTAAAGTATTTCTGATCTACATTTAAGAAAATTAAAAGGGGAAAAATATAATTTAATTTTGTGGAGGGTATAATTTTGTACCAATAACCTTAAAAATTAAAAAAAAGACTTCTCATAATCTGTCTCTCTCTCGGATAAAACTAATTTATAGATTATAATCTATAAGCCAAGGTGGATTTATATTCACCAATTACCTTGCTGTAGATCTTGACCGCGACCCTCAGTTGCCTCATTCTTGGTATAATATCAATCTATGGTGCCAGTATAACTGATAACGTTGGGTAATCTGATAAGAATACAACGCCACGATCACGAACATACTATATCTAACACATTTGACAACTTAACAAAATACAAAATAATATGACCACTAATTGTATTTAGTTATTAATAATGTCGTTAGAATAAATTTTATCATATAATATGTCAATTGTGTTGCTAGATTGGTTTATTGGATTATGTGCAATCCGTAGTACGCGTCTGTTACGTCCTCGGCGTTAATTGTGTGATGTCGTTGTTTGATATACCAACATTGAAATTACCAGCCATAAGAATCATCGAATTTTAAATTACAGGTAAATACTAAGAGAATACAATTTTAAAATGTAGGGGTAAGCTAAATGTCTGTACACCTTGTTTATTGTTAGATAGAAATCAGTAGTCTAGGCTAGGCTAGGCTTTAAAGTTTTGAAAGTTTATTTAATAATCCCAAAATATATGTATTGGTTTTTTAAATATACTTTTTTAAAACACAATATAGCCTAAAAAAGTAAACTTTAAGTGTCATGGAGCCATCGGTCATATTTTTTTTTATAGTTAAAAAGCAGTTTTGACCTAAACATCGACTTTTTTTCCACTGTTATATAAAGTGGTGTGCTGTAAAGTATTTCTAAATTATTTTTTTAGACATTGGACTAAATATTTTAAATATATCATTAAAATAATTATATTTTTAATTTAATTTATACCACTTTTTTTATAATTATTTAAAACCTGAGTTTACCCGGATTTGTTTAAAATAAATGTTATTTAGGTGAAAATAAATTATACATATTTTTTTCAAATCTATGTTTAATATCACTAAACTAAATATAAAGTTAACTTTTTATGTAGTTTTAACTTTAACTAATGTTGTACTATATCACAGTTAGGTGTATTTATTTTATTCGACATTCTTTTAAATACTTCTCATAGTTTGTTCCGAATTTCAAAATAATGGTTTTAATGACAAATTTTCAGTAACTGCCAAGAGTTTAATATTTATAGGTATAACTTACCACAGACCACACATGTGTTACAAATCATGTCACGGGTTAAGTGATATTATAAAAAATCAAAATGGCCATTTTAATTAATACTTAAGTTTTTCTAAAAATGTTGACTGTTCGACAAAAGGTATTGAATAAATACTTTTGATTAGAAATGATTAAGAGTTTAAAATTACTATAGACAAGCGATCGTAACAGATCTAATAAATTATTTAAATCAATTAAAAAATATGTATTTTATTTGCTCGATATATCCAATCTACACATTAATAACTTGTATATTTGATATTTATTTAAATTTCAAAACTTAAGTGACTTTTTCTCATGTTTCCAGCAGTATGTTACTTAGCAAAATAACAAACTTGTTTACAATTTTACATAGTTAATTAATACTTACTAATCAATATTAATGCCGTTTATTTTTTTTTTTAGATTAAAGAAAATGCCTGTGATGACTGCCAGTATATTAAAACCATCTACTGTGTACTGACTTGTTCGTAAGAGGATATTCGATAATATTTTATCAATGCGACGATCGGAGACCTCACAAACAATAAAAAAACACAGGATATTAAGAAATGGTAAAATATTAATACCAACTAAGAAAAAATTAAAAAAAAAAAATACAAATAGTAATAGTCAGATGTCACATAACAATTGTATTAAAGCCAATTATATTGGTTATAACAACACGAATGACACTGATATTTATGACAAATTGTTAAATAAATATGATCATGTTTTAAATGGTCGCAAACTGTTCATAGTGCTTACCAAATTACCATCAATAAGTCAAACACAATTACTCCCAAACCATCCAAACTTCAATAAGAACAATAAAAAAAATACTAATAATACTACTAATAATAATAATAATAAAAGTAATAATAATAATAATTATAGAAATGGATACAAAAAATTAGAAAATTTTATCAGCTCTAACGAAATTCAAATATACGATAATTTGGGAATAAAAATGAATTTTAAGTCTCAGTTAAATGTAGCAAAAAATCAAGAACTACAAATTCCAACTCCTACAATAGTCAACAGTATTAATAAAATAAAAATAGTAAAACAAAAAGATGAACAAGTTGACAAACGAATAACACGTGGAAAAAGTATAAAACAAAAATCAGAAGAAAGGAAACAATTAGATAAAATAATGTTTGACAAGTTTCCAAATAATACATTTAAAAAGTTTGCTGTTCGCCTTGATGACATCAGTAAAGAAGTAAAATTTCTTAGTTCACTTGGATTAACTTTCCGTTGTAAATGTCCACTGACTTACAACAAAAAAAGAAGAATGTAATTTCAACTGGTAATATGTTTTCTCTTGTAAATTTATCACAGGTACAAAAAAAAGTATAAATTTATTTACCTTATCTATAATAATTATATGTATACTATTATATCTAATAATGAGTGAAAAAGAAATTGTAATATAATTATTTATTATTATTACGCTTTTATTTATTATTATAAACCTAGTTAAGTTAAGCTTAAAAAAAATTAAAATAGCAATTTCCGTCTGTGGTTGCTTTAAACTTTTGAACGGAATGCGCTAATGAACTCCCCCCTTAGCCCTTAGGTTTTAAAACTATTTACAAATCAATCAGTTAATAGAACCTAACCTAACCTCATGATAGGTTTTATTTTCCATGCTTTCATAAAAAAAACTCCATTTTTATGTTTAAAAGAGTAAGATAATAATAAGTTCTATTTGCTGGCCGTGTAAGCACTTAGTGACTAAGAGCTGCCGTCCCCTTGTTTGGTGATGGACTTATGACCCATTTCTAATAGCAAATTTGTCAAGAAACCATTTTATAATGCAACGTTGAGCCTGTTCGAGTTAACATGATGATAATCATTACCTATACATTTTTTGTTCTATCTATATTAAGGTAAAATCTTAAGATATGTAAATTAAGTGTTATGCAATGTAACATTAATATATCATATTCTAAAAATGTAATCAATATTATTATAACTTAATGATTCAGTTCTAAAAATTCATCAATTTTACCCACACAATTAATACGTTCAAATAAAATAACAACAAATGACTTGAGTGAAAAACAATTAATATTTCCTTTTTTTAGTTTAAAATAAGTTATCTTATATAAGTACCTTATATTTACACAATAAGGAACTGTGTGATAGGTTAAATTGGGTATTCATGTTCAAATTGTATACTAGTATTACATTAAAATGAGAAACATAGACTTGACTCTATACTAATAATTGTTAAATTGTATAAATGGAATATCAATGTTATCGGGTTTTAATTACAACCTGATGCTTTGAACTGATCTGATGGCTACTATTTTTTTAGGCAAAAATTACAAAAAAAATTGTATTCTTTATTACCGAATTGATAGATTCTTACACAAGGCTAGGCTATATAAATTGTTGAATTATAAACTTTGATTGGCTCAAAATACTTTTAAAGTTTTCGTAATTGTACATTTTTCTTGTATCAAGAATTTTCTTAAACAATTGATGTCTTAATTTAGCTAAAAATTCAATGTATGTTATAATGAAATTGTACTACTAAGTGTTGTAATAATTTTCACTTGTTAGTGTATTGTTAGTTAATATATTAAGAAATATACTAAGAGATAATATGTTTTTTATAATTGATTTATATTTATATAAATTATAATTTATTAGACTGTATCTAAAAAAAAATTATTTTTACTTACCCTCCCAATTGATAGAAGCCTATTCAAATAAGAAACCAAGGAAGTACCAAATAATAGATTTATTCTATTTCTGTGGAAGTACTTTATCGTGATTTTTTTTTGCATTTAATTAATATGACATTTTTTTTTCATTTAAAAAAAAAATTCTTAAAACCTATAAGCTGAATTGTAATAAAAATTATTTTTTTTAAGTACAGACCATTAAAAAATTATTAAATTAATAACTTAATGCTAAATAACCCCTTAGTTTACTTCCAGTTAATGCTGTTAATAACTTATTATGGAAGCAATAAAAACCAAGCAATTTTTAGAGACTACCAAAATTAAAGTAAACAAATATTTTATTGGCGGGGAGGGCATTTGCCTCGCCCTTTATATAGGTTTTTTTAAAACTAGCAAAAGACAATTTAAAAGGTTATGACATCTTTATGTAGTAGCTTAAGATTTTTGGCTTTTACTATCTACCAACTCTAATTGCCAGATATGTTGATGATAATTTGTTTTTCATTTATAATATAATATTAATATAATGTAATGACTTAAGCTACTAGTACTACTTAAGCGCCTACTTGCTAATTGCATAATTATTAATTCAGAGAAAATCTGTACCTATGACTTGTTGACTTGTTTAAATACAATTTTTTATTTTTTATTTATTGTTATTTGAAATTACTGTGTGTAGGTATATTAATTTATAATCATTGTTATTTTACTATTGTTACTACTTTTTATACGACACAAACATTACAATTAATGCTATGTTGTTTTTTTTATGATTTTCTTTGTACAATTACCTATTTCATTATAATAAGGATGGATTATCGTGTAATTGTGGAACTACAATCGGCTATTTCTTCTTATTTTAAGTAAATTTGTATTTATATTTTTTGTAAATAATGAGTTTTTGAGATAAAAAAATCTTTGTTGGATTAAATTTTAATTTACCTATTGACATTCTTTAGTCAAGTTAATCAGTTTCAATTGTGTACAACATAACAAGTCTACATATATACAGAAAATAATTGTAGTGAATCATTAAATTTATACTTTTATATTTTCTATTTACATTGCTATTCTTTCCTACTTCTCTTAACTTTGCATTTTTATTGTTATTTCTTATATCTTAATCACTGTTTTAAAAAACTTCTAGGTGACTTCAAGCAATTGTAGAGCTGAACATTAATTTCGGCGTATGTCCTACTATTGTCTTTTAATATATATTCAGGTTACAAGAATAACATTATTACAATTTTTTTTTAATTGTATAACTTACAAGCAAACTAATAATTAATTTTTATTTTTTGGCTCAAGCCTAAACCTCTAATTACGTTTTGTTGTGAGAATCTTTATCATCTTCACCATACACTACCAACTACATGGGGTCAGACCATAGACCCATAGACCTAATTCCTACACCTCCATAGAGCTCAATCTCGTTCAATCGTCCCAGCTATCTTCATATAACTTTTTATTCCGTTTTTGTTGAAAGAATAGCTTATAAATTATAATAGTATGGTAAATGGTAATCAATAATTACCAATCATTACCTATACATTTTAATGTGGTTCTTGTAGAAACTAGAACTGTAGTAACATTTTTTTTATTTCGCAACACGAAATGCATATATTATTTTCAACTGTCATTACATTTAACGCCGGATTATACATTTTCGTACGCGGAAAACATTGAATTATAAATATGTTTTCGATTATTTCCTTGATTGCCTAAATAAACATGTAATAATTGACTCGCAATCCACATTCAATATCAGCACGATAACAGATCATTTTAGTTTATAATATAGTATAAAAATGTAAAAAGTTTGGATTCACAGCTCTTGATTGAACCGTGAACCAGTCGCGCTAAACCACCCAAACATGTCCATGTTAAAACAAAATATCCGGTTAGATTGCAGTTTGACCTAAAACCACAGAAAAGATTCTGATTTTAGTCTATTTTATGCTAGAACCGTAGATAATTACGTGAACACGTCAGGCTGTACCGCATGTAAATCGAGTTTTAGAAATTATTTATAGGTAATTATGTATAAAAACATAGTTTCCGCCGTCCCCAGGTGTCTGTTGGTTGTTACATAGGTTTTGTCATGAGGTTGACGAATGACGACGGACACAACCTATTAGTCAATATAGACTATAGTTCAATATATTACACTATATTGTTTACATAGTGCGTAGAAAGAACTATATTTTTTTTTTTATAATAAGACTTAACTCCATGCACTTATAAGATTAAACGTAGTTACACAACCACGAAGTCTAGACCAAGTATGGACGCAAAACTATGTTAACAATGTATTTGTTGCGTCCGCTCCCAACCGTATTTCATGTTACGACCGTGGACGATATTATATGTACATTTAAATTGTAATCAAGATAATATGCCCCATGGTTAAAGTGCCTTGATAGTTGATAGGGGAAGTCATGATCAATTATAGTTCCCCCTCGATGGCGCTTTGTGTATACTATAATAATGACTATATTATATATTACACTATATACTATAATAATAAGTCTTCAAATGCAATATTTTATTTTTGTTATAATTTAGTACATGTTCTATAGACTATTTACTATAGTATACATATTAAATCGATCATCGATAATTGTATTGTTCAACTACGGTATCCTATATTCCGATCCCATAATGTAGCACATGATATAACTGTCTTATATAGTTATATTATAATGTAGCAACTACAAAAGTAGTAGTTTAGTAGTGTGTACATATTTTGTAGCATGTACTATCATGTATGAGGGCTGAGGCATGAGCTCTGTTGAACAAATAAATTTACAATTTATCAATTGGCAATGCGATAAACAAATTGTATTATTCGGCGAAAGCGACAAGACTCAACGTGATACATCGCCGAATACGTTAGTTGGACGAATCGACGAACGGGCTTTACTGATAACGTTAATGATTTTTTTCCCACGGCCCTTAGGTTATTATATTGTTTTCACTTTTCGCAACTTGCTATCAGCTATCAGGAGAAGACGGACGGGCGACGGCTATAGTAGTAGCCTACCTACTTGCTTGTGGAATATCAATATTTAGACGACTGTGTTGAGCGCATATATGGCAGCTAAGTAGACTAGCAATTCGATTTCTCCTCGTAAGTCTCATGTAAATTGCACGGCAATGTCCTTAAATCCGTCGTCCGCTAATGACCACACGGTCAATAAAGTGGCTGTATGTTCTGCGATATTTGCTGGATTTGCGTACGTTGGCTACTCGGTAGCCAAAAATGCGTTTGGCCGACGATTAGGAAGGAGAAGCGAAGATGGTAATATATATTATATGAAATACGTTATGATCTAAATGAAAAAGTCATATTATTATTACAGGGTACTTAAAATGTATCTGTTTTAGGGTATCATGAAGACCATCGTTTGTATTTTCGGCGTCTCTCACAAACGACCCAAACAGACGTACTACTCGGTAACCTAGATAACTCGGATACCAACCGTGTGTTCTTAAGACCAATGACTGTTCAAGAAAGAATCAAAGAGCTTAACTTGAGGGCTAGAATGTTTGCTGACACTATGATGGCAATCCAAACTCCATCGTCTAAACATTCATTGCATGGACCAAGAAGTTTACAGGTACATTGTCATATTTTTTCAAAAATAAACATTAATAACGTACAAAAAACTAACAAAATTTAAAAGCCCTTCACTTATGGTAAGGAACACAAACAATTTTATGGGTGTTTGGAAAGCTCACCTGAGCTTCCCTCAAATTGCGCCCAAAAAATTTGTTATCAGTATATGTAATTAAGGGTTTTTAAATATATTGATTTATGCTTTACATTCAACTTAACGCCTAATATGTTATTTATTTACAACTTCTTTAAACTTTTTTAAAACTAAACACCATTCTGATTTTTTACATCAGTATCATTATTAAAAATAAATAATTGTACTTGTCTTTCCATTAATTACTAATTTATTTTTTTTCCAACATCCGGATAGACAGTGACAAAGCATCATATTAAACAATAAGTTTATATACCTCCAATTTTATTTTATTTAATTAACAATTTTTTTAAGCAAATTTAAAATAAAATATTTTTTAAAATTGTCTCGCTCACGCTTTGCTTCAGTTAATAAATTTAGTGATGCAATAAAGAGTTAAGAATTGATTCAAGTTCCTCAGTATCTCTTCTAAAGACCAACTATGCTAATAAATACACCTTAAGAATTAAATTCAACAAAATCTTATTAGACACCTTAATATTTTTTTATATTTTAGGCCTCACCGTGGAATTCACCTAGACTCATGAGTCCCGTGGATGCTAGACACATACTTGGAAGTCGTTCAACGGAAAATCTTCGTCTTTATGACAATTATGCTCTAGATTCTAACTTGGGTACTCCGGTTCGAAAAAAAAATTCTAATAGATCATTAAGGAAAAAATCCCCTCAACCTGGTGAACATCGATTCTCTCTTAGCCAGCCTAATCAAGATATGGAAGAGTTTGAAAACATCTATCATCCGTCTTTGTTGAACAGGTATGCAACAAATAATTAAGACTATTCTTAGTTTTAATATTTTCCCTTTTTGTACCATTTTATTTCTCATTATTCTAGGCCAATGGAACCTAATGAAGCTAAAAATTTACTAAAATTAATGGGTTCAAGGAATGTGCAAGTTCTAGAAAAAGTTCTGGTTACTGTTAGTAATTTAGCTACGCTTACACAAAATCAAGTATGTTTGTATAAATAATATTCTTTAATGCTTTGAATGTATAGTTAAAATTATATTTCACCATAAAATATTACATGTGATTCTCATTTTTCCCTTTTGTGTAAAAAGGAAGTTATGAGAGAAGCTGGATATTTAAGCCAACTACAACAGTTGATATACCACCCAGAAGAATCTGTTCAAATTACTGCTCTAGTAGCTTTAGGAAACTTGGCCTTGAACAAAAATAACTCTAAGGAGATGAAGGTACATCATTAGACAATATTTATGAGTTGAATAATTTATGTTTATTTATTCAACAGGAAACAATACCAATTATTTTAGCACTAATGAAAATGATGGAATCCGAAGATATTATTTATAACTGCCTGTCTACTTTGACCAACATAGCTGTATTTCATATGTGGCATAGTGAATTGCAACCAGCCATACACACATTATATGGACTGTTAGAAAGTCAGAACTCTAAAGTTATCCTTCAGTGTTTGAAACTTTTGATAAATTTGTCATGTAATGATGATATGATACCCTATTTATTAGGTGGACAGGTACGATAATTATTTAATGATATTTGTCTTCTTGTCATTGAATATAATTTTATAAATTTAAAAAAAAAAAATGTAATTTTCATTTTTTCCAATTTCCTCACAGCTTAAAAAATGGTTAATACACTTTTATGATTGTTTTAGGCTCCAAGGAAATTGTTATCCATGTTGAACTTGAATGAAAATGAAGAAATTCTCCTCAGAGTAGTGACACTGTTTAGTAATTTTACTGACGCTGTAAAAGCAATGGAACTGGATCCCGTTTTAGATTTACCTGTAGAGGATAAAGCTGCTGCACCAGATACCATGTAAGTCTTTTAACTATAACTAATGTATTAACTTCTAATAAACAATCAAGTTCAATCTAAGCATTTATACAAAAAGTACTAATAGAAAAATGTATAGAATAAATAAATATTATTTAGACGGAGTTCCATATTTTTGCTAATAAACATACCTTACAAAAAAGTGATGACCTTTCATATTTATTGAATTTTTCAACTTTTAATTAATTTTTTTGAAAAAGTAGAACTTTGTACCTCTTAGGGCTTTAATTAAAAAAATTCAAATTCTTAACGTCGGTATGAGAGTTTTAGTATAACAATTTTTTATACTCGATTGTTGTTTATTTTTAATTATCTAGAATAATTAGGTAGTTATTAATTTATTATATTGACCTCGGTCTCAAAATGTTTAAAAGAAATAATTTCTAAAAATAGTATTAATAATAATATATTATATTATTGATATATTTTACTTGAATACATCTTGCTGTGATCATTGAAAGTACAATATTAGTTTGCTGAAAAATGATCAGGGGTTAAGAATGTAGATTTTATAGTTTTAGAGATTAAGTAGGTATAGCATACCCATTTTTATGCTATACTTAAGACCATATATTCCATACAATTTTAAAAACATCCTTCATACCATTGCCTGAGTCCCGTATATTGCAATTCTGGTTAAGTGCATTTCAGACCTTAAACCAATCTATCGAATGACACTACAACGTTTGTTACAATATCGTCCGTGATAATTTGCACTGTGTTAAATCCAATACACGAAAAAAGTGTTGTGGTAACGCTTAAATTTTTTTTACATGCTACCGAATTTATAGACTTATTTTTGTATTTGCTTCAATTATGAAATGATACTATATATACTATTATGTTTAGCAGGTATGCCAATATTTATGGAGTCAACGTAGTAGAGAAAATACGAACAAAAAGCTTAGTGCTTATGAAACAGCATAAGAATGATGAAATCCGGTTACGTGCACAGAAAATTTATGATGCCTTAACCGATTAATTTTTAGTTGAGATTGCAACTAACCAACCATTCCAACATAGTGTTATTGCGGTGTGTTGCTTTGTTAATTACAAAAACAAATTGCATTTGTAATCATTTTTATGTTATTGATGGTATTAACCTAAATTGTATAAAGGTTGTTAGATAATTATTATTTTTATTAAGTTATCTTTTAAAAAAAACTAATGAGGTTAGAGACTTGTGTTACCGAGGAAAATTGTTTAGAATAAGTTCCTAGACAATGTTATGTAGTGCCATAGAAATTGAACACTTTATTTAATCCGCACTAAGCAAATATTCTTAATTTATTACAGTCAAGCAAAGCTTCTGCATTATTTATTTTTAAAACTATGAAGCTACATTTCAAGCCATTAGTTCAAAGTAATTTATAGATTATATTATTACTATCCATTTAGTGGCTATTTAAACATTCTTTATGAAACAATTTGGTCATTTTGAATATTTTTGAACTCGATTATGTACAATTAATCAAACCACTAAGTCAACGTTACCATACTAATTATTTCTTACAATACTATTGTAGATAATATTAGGCTTTTTAACTTCACACTGTGTGTCTTAAACTTAAGTATTACAATTATTATTATTATTAAATTTATTAAAACTATCAACAATTTTACAATTTATATAATATATTATTATTGTTTAATAAAATAATGTGTTAAATGTTGCGCTCTAGTTTATTAAAGGCATTTACTAGGAATAAACAAACTACATTGTATTTTTAGTTCATAACCAACAATTGTTTTTATTTTATAAATATTAACACTAAAACCATTATAAATAAAACCATTCAATCTTGTGTATAATTTAAAATATTCGGTTTTTTTTTCCGTAATAATATTTTCTTCTAAGTTAATATTTAGACGCACAAACTGTTCAATATCATACTTTATGTTGACTAATTTTGTTTGATGTATAAAATATGTAAGTTAGGCATTTTCAACTTTTCTCATCGAAATAAAAAGTCTATACCTTAAATCATATTTTAAGAATAACTTGCGCCTCTTATGTTATCATTGCACTAAAACAAAATTGTTCTAAATATTTTAGAATATTAGATGCATTATACACTCCAATTATTAGTATCAGAAGTCCCCTTAATTAGTGTTGGAAATCATTTCCATTTCTATGTTACGTCACTTAAAGTATTTCACTATTCAAACTTAAGCAATTTTCCGTATATTAGAATTTACTAACTAGGTATTGTTTTTGAGTTAACTATATATGTATATTTTTTTAAAGTTTCTTTGTTTCATAGTTGTTAATAAATTATTTTAAAGATGATTCAAATGTATATTATTATTATTGTTGTTAACAATTTGAATAATAATTATATTTCAATATACAAATTACAAATAATTATTTATTTATGACCGTTTTTTAAATTGTACTTCCATAATCAATCACCAAGAAGTAGCTTCTAGACACGACAATACTAAAATATAGAAACAAAAATAAATTAAAGCCGTATAAATATATTGAAACACAGTATTCAACAAGGTGGTATAATTATATTAATTATATATATATATATATATATATAAACAGTTTTTTTAAAATTATTATTTCAACAATCATAATTTTTGTAAATGGTACTGTACACAATACAGATGTACAGTTGGTAGCTATGCATACATAGGTCTATAAATATAATACACAAATATTATTACACATAAAACTAACATAATATTATGGTTTATGATGCATTCAACCTAAAAGGTAAAAAAAAAAGAAGTATAAGTATTATGATAATAATACAGTAATATTGCGGTATATTAGATAAATATTAAAATACAACTTTAAATATATTTTTAAAAAGATAATTTAACAAAAAGGGCAAAACTTAAATAAAATTAATTTGACAACAACAACACAATACTGTAAAATAATTTCAATAATTAACACATTTAATATTCAATCATACTTGTTATTGCACACTCATTAATCACACGGTTAATACAACAGAAGATCACATAATACTTTTTGGGTGAGTACCTGACTTTTTTCGATTTAAATGAAAAATATTGCTCGCACTAAAATGGTTGGACGGTAAACGTTTTAAATATAATGTCGACAATTCATTATAGTATCCTATAATAACAGTTATTATAATATATTCACTATATACTATGTATAATAATAGTAATAATTTTACTGTACAGTGTATAATACTTATGATAGGAAAAACAAATTAATAATAAAACATTTATTTTTTATTTTTGGCTAAGCTAAATTGCCACTTAGACACAATGATGAGAATAGGCTATGCGGTATGAATATTCGAATGTGATCACAAAGGTTTTTTTACAAAAAAAAAAAAACCGAAAGTCCTTAATGATTTGTTATAATTTGTGATGCTAAAGGAGAATATGTTAAGTCGGTTCAAAATGGACGATAGAAAGCAGTGAAAAGATCTAAGGACGAGAGTCTTGTCCGCATAAGATACGTATTATTTTTTCAAACAAAGATGAAATTATATCACAATTTAAATTAATTAATTAAAATAAAGTTGATATGTTCAATATGTTCAGTGATGTTTATAGTTTATAATACAAGGACCTAAGTAAAGGGATAAAATACAGAGAGTTAATATACAGACAGGGAAAGTGTATTGCTAACGTTATTTTACTTTTAGGTTTTTATAAGTTGATGAAATAATGAACTTTTTAACGAAAACATTTTTCCACGAGTGAAAGTATTATTTTGAAATGTCGATTATTTTAGCTTCGAAGTATAATGTGTATATAGTAGGCGTGTAAAAACTAAAAATCTAGCAAAAATAACTATGATAGTTGTTTTTGCTGTTAGATTTCGGTGTCAAGGTCTAGCGTTTGTTTTATTTTTTTCTCGCTTACTATAATAACACATATTATGTTTTATCGCTTAATAATTACATGAAAATTATTATTATTATTATTATACATTTTGTGTGTATGGGTTTTTTTTACGTTTTATTGTACCTACGTCTAAAACAAATGTTTTGCTTTGTTTTTTTTTTACATTTTACTATAACGAACAAAAAAAAACAAATAGTATGAACAGTGGTGCAAAATAAATGATAGCGATGAGTTCCTAAAGGATGAATAATTTTGAATCGAGCAATGGCACGATAAGAATATACCTTAACAATTAATTACAAAAGAACAATATTAATATTAGCGTTAAATAATATTCAACGTTATACCTAGTGGCTATATAATTTATTATATACTTACACATGAGTAGATAAATACATTTTCAGCAAGTAGGTATATTAAAAGTAACTAACAATTGCATTACTGATACATTTGAACGCGTGAAATGTGTGCGTATAAATTGTTTTATTTTTTAAACAATGTAAATCAATGAAGGGTCACCAGACTGGATATAAATTATTATAACTTACCAATATTTTGCATGTAAAAAGTTATAATAGCATTTACAAAATTATTCCTTCATGTCACATGTCCTTCATTATTTTCGAAAATAAATAGTTTATATTAATTAATAATTATCAATATTTAGGTTACCGTTTATGAGTGTATCGCCATGTACATACATCTTAATAAGCCTCTCTAGTATAACAATATGATTGTAGGTAGCTAGTTAGTTTAAACAGTCGAACACTTTCTACATTTACAATTAGATTATAGTCTAATCTATCCCGACCGTATGACAATAATAAGCTAATTAACTGTTTTACGAAACAAGTTTTTTAAAAATTATAAATGTATCTATCATAACCAGTTAAGTCCAAATTAAGCAAGAAATATAAGATTTAGTTTTTTTTCAGAATCCGAAACAGATCCAATTTAATTTCGTATAAATCAAACCTAACTGGTTATGACCGCCGACCGAAGATATCTTCCAGCCAGTTAGTAAGATATTCTACGAATCCAATGGAGAGATTTTATAGGTAAGTTACTTCAGTAATTTCCAGTTATTACTTGTCAATCATCGCGTTGATGATAGCTGTACCTACAAATTGTGGTTAATATTTTATTTATTTCTTAAAAAGAATATAAAATATATTATATTGTGTACTCTTTTTGTCGATTTTATGAGAATTCAAAAACGTGAAAACATATTGATATACTACCGTGATGTGGACGATTTGTATGAAAATTAAAATTACATAGTAATAATATTATACATATAATACTAATTTAATATTGCGCGGGTCTTGCGTTTTCTATAAAAACGTTAAAGTAATCGATATCTATAATGTAATATATTATAAATACATATAAAATATTTAACTAAATCCGAAATAATAACATTAACAATAAATATTTTGTCTCGATATTGTACACGCCAGTAAATTTTACATAAACTAATCAAATTACAAACAATGTAGCCAACAACGATTAGCCATCAACGTACTTGAATGATTTTTAGAAGGCTAATTGTAATTCGTAATTGGAATTTCGTCAACTTTGTTTTTGTTTGTATGATAAACTGTTGTGGTAATGACCGGGTAATGTAACTCTCCCGACACGTGTTTGTGAACATTTACAAATTGCTATAGCGGTTTCCAATTATTTATAATATTACATGTTTTTATCGTCGAATAAATATAAGTTTGTATTTTTTGATCAGGCAACTCGGTGTACTGCGAGAACTAAATAGTTGAAACGTTTTAAATACTAATATTTAATAATAATATCAGTTGCCAGTGCTTAACGTTTTTTGTTATGTGCATATGTACCAACTCAGTGTATTGACATAATATTATATAATATATATATATATATCGTTAACACTGTGTTGTTATCATATTATTATTATATTATATATAGGGTGGTCACACGGCCGTGCTTTGAGTCTGTATGCGAACTTTCTTGACGCTTCCGTTTCTGGACAGGGTAGGCGACGTGCCGCTGAACCCGGGGTTCTGTATGCCGAACCCGTTGCCGTTAGTGGGTTGCCTGGGTTTCTTTAGCGACGACCGCAGGGGACTTCGGACGGCTGGCGACATCACCGAAGAACCGTTGGAGCTCAACGTGGTCGTCATCGACATGGTACTACCGCCGTTGGTCACTCCGCCGCTCAGGTACGGCTTGCCGCTGGCGTCCGTCACCGATATTGTCCCTCCTGAGCAGAAACAAAAAAACGACGCTAGTAGTTAATGTAATAAAGCTAACGAAATGGTACAAAGTAACATTAAACATATAACTATGTTATGAACTATTTTCCATTTTCCGGTACCTACCTACTTAACATAATATTAGCAGTAATAGACAATAGTATCGGTACCCAGATATTTTTTTCGGCGAGGGTTACCAAGATAATAATAAAACACGTTTTATGGTTAACTATCTTTAAATGATTATAAAGTCGTTTTTAATGTATAAAGTCAACGATAATAGTAAAGTAATACAATTGAATTACAGCAGGATTTTAAAGTTCTAACCCCTCTGGAAACGCCACTCTCCCTACACTTTACCGAGGCTTTAAAAATGTCATTGACTACATAACATAACTACTGAAACCAGTAATTATTTTCAATAAAACTTGCGATAAAGAGTTAGTTGCAATTGTCTTTTGTCGGTTACTGGATTAGGCAAAATTGTGGCATAAAAAGAGCGTGGAAAAATAGCCAAAATTATAATATTAAATAAAATAGCGAACTGATCATTAAATGTATTGTGTAACACAAATAAATTAAAATAATGAGGGACATTTTTTTAACTTTAAAATATGATAATTGATACAGCGTTTTTACAAAATTTTTCACCGAAAAATAAAAGTTTTACGCGCTCACGCGACTTTTAGTATTTGTCGATTTAAAAATATTGATAATACATATTAAATAGTTAAGAGAAGTATACTAAACTCATTATAACAGCGGATAATATTTATAAAAAAAAATTGAATATAAATGTCCTCTCTAGGCGACCGTTTCGAATGTATGGGAACAGATGGTTTGTTCCACGCCCTTATTATCTAAGACTGTTCACACGTACAAAAAGCAATCGAAAACCTTAGCGGATATAAGATATTGCGGTACTTGTATTAGTTGCAACATCACCGTTATTGTTTCATTATTATACTGGGATCACAAGCTTCTTTAAAGAATGCCAAACACAATACCTTTAGTATTCATTACCACCAGTTGACCACCCGGTCGTCCGTTTATTAACAATAGCTTAACTTTAACCTACATCTCTGGCCCCGAAATATGATATTTGAAATAAAATTAAAACTAAAAATACACTGTGTTTTAAAACTGTATCCTATATGAAATCTAAGTATGCTATCTGTGGGACTTTTCCAATTACTTTTTAATAAATTGTGTTCAACAAAGGAGGTTTAATCGTTTTTAAATAGATGCGTCGGATGTAGTCTAGAACATGTTACAGAGATAATTAAACATGTCGAGGAGGAGTATTACAAGGTTATTTACTCCTTATGATAAAAATGGCAAAAGAGTTTTAATTTCTTTATATAAACAATAGAATTTCGTAAGTACTTGTGTTTTTTTATATCCCCATTGTATACAATTTTTCATTTGCTGTTGATCATAATAACATTATTTACTTACTGGGATTCATGGATCTCTTCTCCTTGAACGCAGGATTATTGAACGTGGTGGCTTCGACACCAGTTGGATCTCGGTGGCTAATAGTAGGGTCACCACCCATCCTACGAGAGAATATCAAATCGTAAATGGCGGCCACAAACAACAAAAAGTTGAGGATGATCAAACAGATCTGAAACACAAGAAGAACAGTCAAAAGTTATAATTTAAAACGGGGTATAACAATTTTTTTTGTAAATTGTATTTACACCTTTTTTTTTTGTTTAAAAACAAATTGTGTGATGAAATATATAGGTGTACACTATGTATGTACTATATAAATAATATGTATAAATATGATATACAGGCAAATATCACCCAAAACTGAAGCTAGTTGAAAATAAACTTAAGTCGATCTATGTATATAATATATACATGGGTAACATTTGGATGTGATGGGAACAATTTGGAGCTGTCTATAGTATAATATAGCATAGTACGGTGAGTTACTTCGGTATATTAATAAAAAAATTGAACTTGTCAAAAACAAACATTTTATTTATTCAACCGTAATACGCGTGTTGCGAATTTATTTATTCTCCAGCTGACACACGAGTGTTGCGCCAACCATATTGCCACGTCTATCAAACAATATAGTATTACACACTGTAGGTGTCTAAAATTATTGTTATTTTTTACTTACAAGAAATTTGTACAAATATACATGCTCATAAATCTTAACGATCATATATATATATAAAAACTGAAAAAGGAAACATTTTTTTTAGACGATGACTTCACATTGAAGTGTTAAAATGTTAAAACTTAAAAATACGGTAAAAATGCGAGAGCTGGTATTTATTATTAATGAACTTCCATTAATATTAATTTATTTAATATTAGAGTTTGTCAGAATGACATTGATCATGATCAATAATATAAAACAGTTGTATTTAGACCGAGTAGCTTTGAAATAACTAATGCGATATCGAATTCAAAAATCGTTATTTTAACGTATTTAAAAACTTTAAAAACTATGAAAACAAAAACTATTGTGTGTTTTTAGGTTGAAAATTGCAACAGTTTTTTTTATTGGACAGTATTCAGTCAATTTGATTTCAGTGTTGAACTTGTACAATACATTGAGTTACAATCCTATTGAATTTAGTTGCGACGATATAAAAACATTGACTTCAAATTACCACAACGGACAACGAATCACTAAATAACAGAATACTTACAAAATTTAAATTTTACAGCAAAATACAAGACATACAGTGCACAAACTATGTACTTGTGACGGTTATGCTACTGCATATCGTAGATTAGTTGGACGTTATTGCCGATTACGTAAACTGTATGATAGACATGTTATACAAAGGGGAATTTTGAATGAGCGGTCGGCATTGGAAATTGCATATAAAACTATTAGGACTACAACACTACATGATAAGAGCCCAAAAAACTCTAGATGAACACTTATAGGAGATTAACGAAACCCTACAGAAATTGGTAACGGCGTGAGAAGGAAATAAATACCTAATATACAAGTTTGACTACGCATTAAAATTGTACAATAATGCACCTAAGAGTCCAAAATTGTTGAGTACATTTTTGGAAATGTATGACCAAAAATATCAGCAATTTGTCGGGGACAAGACTTATAATAAATTACCCATTGATGTTAATAATTTATAGTTGAAACTTGATGTACATGTTAGTGAGATATTTGTTTGATCCATTACCTGGCATTGTTGTTGATTGGGAGAGTACAAATAAGGCGTTTACAAAGGAAGTTGAAAACACCAAGAATCCATGTTACAGAATGGAATGGACAACACAACCATTCAAATACATAAAATGACATGCAATACTTTTGGACGTCATAAATTTAAAATTGTATAGTTATATTTGAATTCATTTAGTTGTTTATCAAAAAACAGAAAATATTGTTCGACTAGAACCTGATGTTTTTTTATAAATTCATTAAAAAGAGTACTTTATTTTGCTTATATTAATTGACCAAATATTTAACGGCGTACCTACTAACTTTAATGAGTGAGATATATAAACTCGATGGGACTATGGGATTGACGACAGACGAGAAGATAAATAAAATTATAAATATAATAGCAGACGAAGTAAACCGTATTATCAGTAAGGTTACTGAGCCAAATTATAAGTATAAAGTAGCAAAATTGATAATGCATTCACAGAAGAAAAATGCGAAAATACAAATTCCGAATTTCTAGAACATCATGCAATGCGTTTAGCAAACTTAACTGAAGACACTGAAAGAAGAAAGGATGGATTACATTAATTAAGTGTTTTATTATTTTATATAAATGGAAATAGAACTACTGACTGCGTTTCCAAATAAATGATCATTTCTTTTTAGTATCTGTTAAATAAAAATAAATGCAGTTAAGTGCTCTAGAAAATTAGTTGTGGACATTAATAGGGGTTTTAATAGGTTATAATAGGTGTTTTTCTCGAATTTTAAGAGGAAGGAGTGAACTAGACAGACGATCAACGCTAATAGTGTATTCATTGTATTCACAATGCTTTTATAGATGTTTAATATTTCTACTACCTGCAGATATGCATCAAAGCGTTTATATTTAAGTGATTTTATCAGTTTCAGTTAAAATAATTTTGAAGATACCACCTGCCCAAATCCTACATGCCCATGTATACCCCACTACCCAATCCCACTTTTTTTTTGTATTTATCGTTATTATTTAAAAATAATTTATTAATTTTTTTTACTTAAATGATTCTCACAAGACACTAAAAAAAAATACCTTAAAGCAGGTATTTTGTTTAAAATAAGGTTTCATTAAATTTTTAATCATACGAAACTTATAAAAATTCTATCTATATAGTTTGGTAATTACGAATAACAGCTTAAAATGGCTAACTAGTATCTAGAGAATAGAAAACAATCTGTTAATGTTAATTACATACTAGGCAGGGAATGAAGTATTATCTGTGGTGTGCGACAAGGAGGTATGCTAGGTTCAATTTTTTTCATTTTGCTTATAAATAGTGTCTGCGACACGAAAATTGACGGACAAATTGTCTTTTTCTGATAAAACATGGGAATCCGTTCATACTTAAGTAGCGATTGAGTTGAAAAAAGTTGTACGTCTACTAACATATAGGAATTTTTCACATAAAAATTAGAAACACTTTATATATGATTTTCTCTAGAAATAGCACGAATACGTATTTAATATCTACATTAGATTTTTCCAAAAGACAACATTCGAACTGTATATGTCTTTTTATCAAGCAGTATTTCAATATGGTATTGGGATTTTCGATGGCGCAACTAAAAATGCGATCAAACCACTTCAACTACAACAAAATAAAATTATATAAGTCTGTCAGGGTAAACAAAGTTTAGATTGGTCAACAATACAAAATTACCAAGAATTAAAAGTATCGACATTTTGAGAAAGATAAAAAAATAGTAGCATTTTTTTAAATTGTTTATAATTATAAGGTATTTTGTTGATTGTCATAGGATAAATTTTGTTAATTTAATTTGTTTTTTTTAATTTCTATACCTAATTGTATAATTCTCTATCTCCGGCCCAAGCAATTGCTTATAGTAGATAGATAAACCATAAAATGTATTTAATATGTAATTTTGTTAAATGTAACTATTTGATTTAATAAAAAAAAACAAATTCGAAAGGATGTTTATGTATTACTTGCATTAGTTAATTTTGCTTAAATTAGTATGGTAAACACTAAACACTAAACAATGGAAAAAGAGACTAGACATAATGTGCATTTAAAAAACTCTATTGTTTTACGTCACACGCGTAGATTTTTACAAAAAAGGAAAATAGTTTTTAAATAGCTTTTTTTTTAAACTTTAAAAGAGGCTCTATTGATCTTATTTTTTAAACAAATTCGATACAAGCATGCAGGGTGGCAACAATACACCTTGAAAGATATGCGCATCATTAAATATCATAATGACAATAGACTTATAATTAAGTCGAAAGTCGCAGCACGCCCACGAACAAATATGGCCGTTTAAATTTTAAAGAATAACTTTTCCCATTTATTTTATTCATATAGGACCGATTACCACACTTAAGCATTTCAGGGTTTACCTGCATGTAAAATGATTCTCCTCGAGTCACTTGATAGCTGTTGTCCCTGTCGTCAGTCTGCAATGCGAACAAACCAGCGGCGATGATTGCCAGCAAAGCTACATATGATAAACGTGATAAATTAGAAAAAAAAACAATATTATACATAAATCATAGTGAGAAAATAAATTTTGTAATTTCTATTAAAAAGAAATATCAAGTTAGTTTATACAAAATAATAATTTTTGAGGACTTACTGGCAGCGAACGCAAACACCAACTTGGTAACCACCGTCTTACTGTAGGGGATTACTACCTTCTCACGTGACACGACCATGGCCAATTGTACTATGCTGAGCACGCAAAACACAGCCAAGCTGAGGGTACCGGCAAGGGCAAAGAAGCCGGCTATCCTTACGGTATCTGAAACAATAGTTATTATACAATTTTAACAAGTTAACTGGCAAGCTATGGTAAGGTATATGAAGCTTTGGGCTTTTGATAGTTGAATATCATACTCAAGTCAGTCAACTTGTAAGCTTTGATTTCAGCCGGTTGCAAATCGGAACTATAATATTGTGTTCCAGGCAACAGGGTTACCATATTTGACTACTAAGAATAATACCGAATTAGATTGCCGGCACCTGAGTTACATACCTTCTGGATGAAACCTGGATATAGAGTCGCCACACTTTGTCCGGCCGTAGTACGACTGTTTGCACATTTGCCATGGTCCGAAATAGCCGCGGTCGATGCCAGAAGCTCCGATTTCAGCTAAAACACACATATTATTCCGAAACATTATTGTTTTGATTTTTGTTTTTAAATAATGTATAGGTACTCTGTAATTTATTATAGTATGAATTACACGACAAATTGAACGGGTTTCTTCTCATCGTTATAGGTTTATGTTTATCTCTTAATGCGGTTTAACGGTACAGCAGTGAAGCAGTTAGAAATTAATTTGGGTCAAAGTTCACCGCAAACAAAGTGTACTGATGAGATCGGGTTTGAATAATGAGTTAATATATTTTCTTTGTCTTTATTGTTTTTGTTTTCCATTTGTCTGACTAATGTCAGATGACTGATGTCGGATGTTTAACCGCAAGAAAAAAACGGTTAGTTTTTGTAATTTTTCAACGACAGTAATTATTTTGTAACACCCACACGAAAATAATTTGTTTTTTCAAATTATTTATTTAAATTAATTATTTTTTCGTTAATTTCCGAATCTCTTTGACCAACGTTGGTTAGCAAAACGTCAGAGTGACAATAATTAACGGTTAGCGTGAAAAAACAAAATAATAATTAACAATCACCTATACCTTACACACTGCAGTCAAATGTAAGTTTATATTAAGTTTGTTGTTTGCCAAACACTGTACTCTCAGGGGTGTTAAACTATGAGCTGTTTAAATTGTTGTATAAAAACCAAAACGAAAACATGAATTTTTTTTTTAACATCTTCTTTTCCTTTGCAATTATAATAACTATTATACTTATGAAATCGAAATTAGAGGCCAGCGGGGAATAATAAAACGTACTCTCCCTTAATGTTTTTATTCTCTTAAAAAGTATGCAACTTTCAGGACGCATTCACTTCGATATTACTGAACTCGCAAGAATGAATGGCGAAAAGCATATGTTAGCAATCAATTTTGCTGGGTAAGTACCATTAACATAAAAACATAAGGGCTTGTAAAAATAAAACATGATACACAGTGAAATTCATTTTTCTTTCGGCAATATTATTACATTTTTATTTCGTAAAGATGGTAAGATTAGTGAGTGAAAACATTTTTGTACAACTAAAAACACCACGTAGAACACATTAACAAACAGGCTTACCTTATTCTTAGTTCATTTAATTAAGAAATCAAATTTCACCGTCTACTTTTATTCCAAACAAATTAATGTTATTTTTTATTATTTATTTTATATTGGTAATAAAAGTTTCTGTAAAAAACTTTTATTTATTTGGACATTTGAGAGATCAAGTGTGTACCCAAAAATCAAATTCCTTAGAGGATTTGACCACTATAATATTATAAGAAAATTGATCTTCTGGGAGATTTTTAGTGAGGGGTTGGGTTTCATAAAAAAATATACTGGCCATTTTTGGGAAGCCATAGCACGTATAATCTTTAAGAATTTCGTTAAAATAGTATTTCCGATTTTCCCGGTATTTAGAATGCAGGAGCAAACTTATAACTAACATATTTTTACTTCAAGGGAACCTTCAGATATGTGTTACACGTATGTGCTACTAAAGTAAATTGGTGGTAAAGTATTTGGTAGAATTTGTATTTGGAAAATTGTATTTTATCTGTTATTACTTTTATTAGAACATATTATTTTAGAACTCTTAAAAAAAAATATTTGTAATTAGAGTTTTTATTAAAAAGGCCTTATAAAACTGTCAAAATAAAACTTTGTTTTATGAATTTTCAGTAGATCGCTTTCCGTTAGGTACAAACAGTGGTCTATCATAATATAACAAACGTGTAATGAAACCGAAAATAAATGAAATTATTGGTTGCATGTAATATTACAATATCATATCTAATAAAACAGCTATTATACAGACGGTATATGGTAATATGCATTAAAATACTTTTACGACACTATATCGCTATAGGAATGAGCCCACACCGAGATCTCTGGCTGGTAGTATAACGTGAATAATAAAAAAATACAACAGTAATAATAATAACACTAATTATTATTATTATTATTGACCACATGTTGTCGCTTCATTAGTAGGTCGCGATAAACGCTCGCTATAATAGTTAGAATGGTAACGGTTAACCTTAACCTCGGTGGAGTCAAACTGAAAACTTAAGTGTTTGGGTGGATCAATTGAGATCTAAGCAAATTACCTCTCCTCGTCGCGCTGTCTCTAATTAAAGTTCACACGTATTTTGTACTTTCGGATCGAGTGCGATGTGCGTGATCCCGTTATGCACACACAGATTGTATAATAATAATTAGTCTTATAGTTATAATTAACAACTCGTTAGTAGGTATTGTATTTGAAACTGTAAACAGTTTATTTACGCTATACTCAGTCTGTATATCTACTTGTTTACAAACGGACGGGGATAATAACGCAACAGTTTAACTTTCAATCATATAAATTTTGGAAAATAATTTGATACTGATAATGAATTTTATTTCCTTGAAAAATATTTTTACATAATAAAAAATAACTGGAACAATAATTTAAAAATATTATAACTTAAAAGTGTTTTTTTTTCTATGTGACCCATAAGTAGGTACAACTGTGCCGTATATGTTATTTTATATGTATTTCATTTTATTGCTATTGGTTAAATGAAACGAGTTCGATTGCTAGGTTTTCAAAAATGTCCAAATAGACAAAAAAAATGAGCTATTTGGCATATGAAAAATGTTATATTGATTGGCGACTACTCATCTTAAATGCCAATTCAGGGTTTTAAACCAACTCGATGTTATGTAGGTGTACTAATATAGTATGTGTTATCATTGGTTAGATTGTTTGGTAATAAAAGGTCCAACCGATGCCGATAGAAATGTGCAAAATATTATATTTTTGAAATGCTCTAGTTGCTGCCCTTTGTAATTTGTTAACGCTGTCTGACGTGTGAGTGACTTAGTGACTTAAGTAATAACACAACGATGGTGTATGCAACCGTCGACAGCCCATTGTAATTGACTTTGGAAGAGAGTGCTTGTGACGTACTGTTAAACTTTGTTAAAATCGAGGTTGTCGTGAAACAACCATTGCGGTCGATAAACTTTTATGAGCAATACGCTAATAAGGCATTCCTGGTAAATACTAAAAACACGTTTTGGGTGGATGCCTATGGTTTCTATCGTCGGACAACGGAAGAACAAATTTAAATAAAATCGTAAATATACGTGTATTATCTATACCAACCAGAGTCATATTTCCCATATGGCAAGATAGGCACGTGCCTATGGATTTTAAATAAAACGACCTCACTTTAATTATACACTCTTTATAAAAAATATTTTTAGGAAAAAATGTACTCACGAAATAAACTAAAGAACATATTTTTAAGAAAATATTCAAGTTGTAGTTTTCCTTATTCTATACCTATAGTAATACAATACAAATTCATTTTGTATGGCTTTAAATAAAATGTGTGTCTTTGATAGTTGAAACAAAGGTACAATACTACATTACCTGTAGTAATAATGACAATTTCAATTGTAAAATTTCCATTTATAAATAAATAAATAATAATTATATCATTTATTTAATGAATACCCGAAGGTATAGGTAGCGTTTGCTACACGCAGATGTAAACAATAATAAAATAAAACTACCAGCACACAAACTAATTGTGAACACCTGAGTCCGGAATTAAACATTTAAAATGATGTACAAATCATAAAATAAATTTAAATGTTAGTCAGTTAGGAAGTCTATCTCTAATAATAATGCAAGTTGAGTTAAAAATATAATCATTATTGATATTATTACATAAGGCTCATATCTTATTTATGGGGTTAGGTTCGAGTTCTAATTTATAGGAAAGAACAGTTATAATACTTAGGCGAAATATAAAAAGAGTATTAATGTTTTTTTAATAAACTTTCTGGAGTTGCTACTTGCTTTTAAAAAAAAATTGTGGTTGAAATTTGTAGTGTGATGAGTACTTTTATGGGTCAGCTAAAATGGTAAAAATTAAACATTGTTTTTGTGATAACTATCATTCAAAAAAAAAAATCAGTACTATTACTAAATCAAGTGAATTCATATTCCTAGTGATAGTAGTAATATAATAGTAAACCGCGAAAACAATTTTGGGAAAGTATTTTAATTATTATTTTATGAGGGGCCCCCATATATATTTTGCTTTATGGTTTAAAGTATCAAAATTAAAAATCAGGGCCTGATACCAACACGGAGGCAATACATGTTTAGTATGAGGTTAGATCAGGATACATTAGCTCTTGCATGACCAATCTTATGGCAAGCCGGAAATTCCAAAGAAACATATGCTGTACAAACAATTAAACGTTTATGCGGAAAAAGTACGGTGACACGTTCGACTTGGGTGAAACACGATAATGTTATACATTATTATGGCAATTATTGCTTAGAATTTAACAGTCAACGCATTTTTGTGCGCGTACATGTGATTAATTACGACTCGATAAACCGCGTTTGAAACATTATTGTCCACGGCATTCGTCGACGATGATGCAATAATTATTATTACATTACACACCAGGCCGGTAAATGCGAAGTACCCGCTATAGTCCACTGACGATGACATTTTACTAATATTATTAAGGGGCCAGCGCGCGACCCGTTTTAATGGGCAAGACGGGAAAAAATCTCAAGTCAAAGAAGTTCAATTAAAATAATTTTTTTTTTGTCGGAAAGAGTTCAGTTAAGTCCTACAGGTCGCATTAGCCTTCGGTTTTTAACAATATATTATTTTTTACAAATTTTATACAATTTTTTTGTAACGTGATTAAAAATCGAAATCCATTGCTTACTGTGAACAAGTATTCTCTTTCCAACAAAAAAATAAAAACGCATTTATATAAACTGCGAATATCCCCGCTTAATTAATAGGTATCTATATATAATGAGCAATTGCGTTGTACATATACTAAATGCAGGCGTTATACCTGAAATTGACCGAAAGCAAATCGTAGCATTTTTTGTACGGGACACGGATTTATAGTTATAAACATAGAGCTTTGTCGATTCAGGATCTCCACGGAAGTAAAGTTTGCTATGTAAAAAGCAG